GCGTTCCTAGCCACAGATTTATTTTCAAAAATAAGATAAATAATATGGTGCGACTCAATGTATAGGAGCCTTTACAATATGACTTGGTGAAATGTAATGGAATCCAGGCATAGGAAGACCGCCAGCAGTTTCCATTGATATTCTGGAATATAATTAGACAAATATAACTATTGAAAATTACAGTTTGATATTACATATTAAGTATGTGGCCAATAATATATATTATTTGTAATTAATGCATACATGTCAAAATAGTATGTTTATACATTCTGAAATAAACACCAAACAATTATATGATCATTTCAACATATTATCAATACTATCAGTGTAATTTACCACCAACAGTGCTGTTATGATATAAAAAATACAGACAGGACAAAAAAAATCGTAAAGGTTATCACCGGCTGTGCAAAATGTCTTTTGATTTTGATTATAATTTTTCAATATTCCTGTGCAGTATTAATGAATATATATATATATATATATATATATATATATATACACATATATATATATATAATCACAAGATAAATAAAGAACGATAAACACACACATATAAACTCGACAAGTTTCTGATAAGAATTGTAACAACAGAAATTAAAAAACAATTTCCGGAACGTATTAGGAAGTTAATTAAATTTAAAAGTAAGGAAAATTTGGGAAAACTGTGCATAAGGAATAATATTAAACAAGAAAAATGTTGAAGAGGGTTGAATTATGGATATCTTACCGGATTATGTCCATGACTATGGGTTTATTTTTAGGAGTAGTCATTTATGGCTGAACTGGAGTGCAGAATGGATAATAAGATACAACCAATAGAGGAAGAGGTATAGTTTCCTGATATTGTAAACTCCACACATAACAGATGCTACATTTTCATCGCACTGTGCGTTTCCTTCAATGGTATAAAGTATCTTAAACTGAATCCTGTTAAACTTAACTATCTAAATATTTTATCACAAATCACACACCTGAAATTGAATTATTTGCTCAATTCTGGCCAAACAAATTTTTATGCAATATGACACTAGTTATAATAGAAGTTCCTAAACTGAAGGCACTTAAAAATCATTTGTTTAAATAATTAATTTGTGTTTATAACTAATTTTATAGTGAATTACAACAACAGCTTTCAGTTTGTTACATAAAGTCAAAATATGATAAACCTCCGTACATAAATTAGTATTATTGAATGTGCACGATTTAAATTTAAGAAGTAGCATAAAAGTGGTCTTACAGCCATAAATAGAAAGACAATACAATATATACAATATCAATATTTACAAGTTACTATATATTCAGAATTGAACCAAAATTTCATTACAATAATGTAATGAATAATTTAAAACTTGTGTAACATATTCTAAATAATTAAATATAGTGCAATTGATTTCATTTAAAAATCTACAAAATAAATATTAGTTTATTCAGCTCACAGAAGTTACAGAGCTCACCAGTCAATTGTAGCAAAAGCAAGCAAACTACCCGCAAACCAAAACAAAGTTCTTTCTAATAGTTAAAACAGACCTCCTTTTAATTTAAAACAAAATCTTATATAGAAAATAATATCGAGTAAATAAAGTTTTATTCGGAATCTTGAACGTAATACATCTACTGAATCAGTACACCTAAGACTTACTACATTTTAATTTATATAATTCATTTAACCTATATCTACAAAAAATAAACCATTTAAATCATTTCATAACATATGCACAGGTAAATCTCTGTTAGTTCAAAATTTCATACTGTTTCAAATTACTATGTTGACTTCAGATTTTTGGTCCCGGATATTAGAATACACATTGTTAATCAAAATAGAAATTATGCTCAGAGAGAATTACCTGCCAACATCAACCATTTAACAATTTGAAATGAAAAATACGTCTCTTTTCTATCCTCAAATTTAATTAACAAATTTTATATTCCGAAAATATTCTTAAATGTAATAAATTTGAAGTATTTATATTAGAATCAGATATCACAATTTATTACTAAATATCTGTGGCCGCAAATAAGAATATTACGTATACTACGTGTAAATAATAAAATAATTATTCAGCAAATGATAAAACGCTAAAATATTTGTATATGTATTTATGTGTACATGTATATCCCCAGATATACATCTGCATAAACATATACATATATATATATATATATATATATATATATATATATATTATATACTAACATATACATATATATTACACTATCACGCACGCACGCACGCACGCACACATACTCAAATATAAATTTTTCATACATCAAACCAATTATTAAGCAATAACAAAGTTAGGTAATTTACAAATTTAATTGAACTTGATGTGTTCATTGTTGGTGTTATTGATATCTTAATATTGATGCCTTTCGATGTTAAATTTCAGTTAAACACAACTCTATAATTGTTTATATTGTGTTTGATTACATTAGCATATTTAGTATTAGCATGTGTATTTATTAGCTACACAATTTAGTTTTTATTCAATAATTAAATGGATATCTGAAAAAATTGTTATTATATATTTGGTATTGGTACACACACATATACCCATATATGAAAACACACACACATATACATGCACACACACACATATATATATATATATATATATATATATATATATATATGGGTCATTCTTTTACAAATCGGGCGGATTTTGGTAAAAAAAAAATGTGACATTTTTGAATTGGCTGAAATTTTTTTTATAGATATTATAGATAAAATCATTTGACACGTATTTCAGGATTTTGCCGGCAAAAAATTTTTTTTCGTTGATATTTACGATTGAAATATTGCCGATTTTCTCAATTTTTATGATCTTCCTTTGCATTATGTTAATTATCTTCAGTTGTGTTCATCAGATCAGTATTGTTTTTTGTTATTATATTCATTATGAACTGAACTTTGAAGTAATTTAAAAAAAATAATGTTTTTGCAATTATTTTAACAGTAATAACAATTGATTGTTAACATTGGTTTTACATACGGGCGCCCCAACTTAAATCGATTGCGTAAAAAACCATATTGTTTCTTTTTTTATCTACTTAAAAATTATTTTTACAATTCGATGGAATGGCTGTTACATCGGAAGATATTAAATGTTTTCGAGGGAAAGTCGCGTCGCGCGTCCGTTTGAAAGGCGCATAGCGCGTATTAAATGAGTACAAGTACTATTTTTAACTAAAATATTTTACAATTTCGTTACTGAGGAAAAATAAATATATTATCTAAAATATGTAGTAGTATTTAATTGTTATTTTGGAAAGTGCTCCCAGTGTCCTGGCATAGAAAATTTGATCACAGAATTAGAAAATATTTTTGAGGAAAATTATATTGACAAAATTAGGTACAGAGAGTGGACTAATGTTGATAAAACTATGTTGCAATTAATGATATAGTATAAAAATAAAAAGAATTTTGTAAATATTACTTGCCACGAAAAAGATTTTGGTCTGGTTGCAGAGTGGCACTTTTTCTCAACGTCACACGGTAAGGGCGCTTGCGATGGATTGGGTGGAACTTTGAAAAGGCTAGCTGCCAGAGCTAGCCTATTATAATGCAATAAATTAATTATTTTTCAATCGCATTCTCTTGTATTTATTTTTTAACGAAATCAAACCTACCCAATACAATTAATTTAACTTTTGTTATTATTCCAACGAATAATAAGTTTTAGTTTACCAGTTTCAAAAATATGAGCATTTTGTATAAAATATTTGCTACTACATATTTTAGATAATATTTTTATTTTTCCTCAGTAACGAATTGTAAAATATTTTAGTTAAAAATAGTACTTGTACTCATTTAATACGCGCTATGCGCCTTTCAAACGGACGCGCGACGCGACTTTCCCTCGAAAACATTTAATATCTTCCGATGTAACAGCCATTCCATCGAATTGTAAAAATAATTTTTAAGTAGATAAAAAAAGAAACAATATGGTTTTTTACGCAATCGATTTAAGTTGGGGCACCCGTATGTAAAACCAATGTTAACAATCAATTGTTATTACTGTTAAAATAATTGCAAAAACATTATTTTTTTTAAATTACTTCAAAGTTCAGTTCATAATGAATATAATAACAAAAAACAATACTGATCTGATGAACACAACTGAAGATAATTAACATAATGCAAAGGAAGATCCTGAAATACGTGTCAAATGATTTTATATATAATATCTATAAAAAAAATTTCAGCCAATTCTAAAATGTCGAGGTATGGTTGGTGCCCGGTTTGTAAAAGAATGACCCATATATATAAACGCAAAGAGTGCATATAATATCCTTGGCTTACAAATTTATTAATTTTACTTAACATTTCCTCTAATTTTTACACTAGTTGTATGCATAGACAATCAACTTTTTGATTATATTGTTAAAAAGTTTCAACTTAAAACCTTATAAAATCAAATAGCATTTAAAATTCTAAATATATTATATGCTATAGAAGTCTAGTTATAAAAACGCAGTTCTCTTGAAAAACCTAATATTGTAAATGAACTTATTCGAATGGCTAAAATTGATACTTCATCTAATTAGTACAACAAATATTTCCTCCTCATAAGTCTGATGTTGGGTGAAGTTAATCTATTATATTACAGTAATTATATTTTAAAATCAAAGTCCGTCACTAAGTATAAAGAGCTTGTATATTCAGTAATAAACTACTTGTAAGTTTAAGTGATAAACTTAACATGAATTTTCAAAACTGAAGTTTTGATTTAGTGAATGTATTTCATATTTTTCATAATTAATCAAATTTATAAAATTGAATAAACATTGTCAATAATAATTAATTCCCTACTTTAATAAGTAAATAATAAAGAAAATAAAAATTCATAGAAAATTTGAATCGATTTTTTAGTCTCAAACTTAAACAATGTGCACAATGTCCAATTCGTTGCATAATGAAGTTTGTAAATAAATCGTAGATCAAAGAAATCATTCGTGAGATTTACTTCAACTTATATATTAAGTTTTAAACAAACTTATCACAATAACTGAAAAAATCAAAAACATATATAATAAAATTGAATTAATTGTTTGTCCCTTCAATTACAATCTATTCGTTTGAAAGTGCCCTGGTAGTACCTTACTTTTATCAAATTGTTAACCATTTACAAATGTTTTAAGCGTATACAATAATTTAAATTACGAATTAAGAAGCCGGTTCCCTAACGCTAAACGAAATCAATCCCAATCCACGAATCATTCATTAGATGGTTTGAACAATATGTGTAATTCCATTCAAATTTTGTGTATGCTGATGAGCAAATGAACCAAAGAGGCTTTTTTGTTCCCGCAAACTTTTTATACTAGTCGTTATATGATAAAATTTTTGAATGTGGTAGTTTATTATTTGGTCTGCGCGTATACATAACGAATCAAAATAAATCGATCAAGATATTTTATGCGTTTGGTTTCATATCATATTTCGAAACATATTGAACTCACAAAATAGAATAATAGTGATATGTCAGAACTCACTACGTATTTCTAATCTAAGAAGTAACGAAAATTCACCGAAAGCGATTTGTCTCACATAAAGAATTAAATTCATAAAACAAGTAAAGCATAATTAGTGTGGCGAGAACAAAAGCCTCTTATTATCATGTTTAAGCGCGTATCAAAATAATCATTGTTGAGCACTCTAATAAGGATTAAACTTATTGCGTTCGTTCTTAATCTTGGATTCCTGTCCGCCGCCGTTGGGTGACCTGAGTCGCGGCTGATAAGACTTGTGTCGATGCACGCCAGTGGTCTGTATCGGTGCATTAGTGTGAGCGTGCACGGCGTGGCCGGCGCCAAGAGCGCCGCCACCCAGCAAATCTGTGAGACCGCCAAGAGCGGTTAAACTGGAGAGGGCGTTGAGAGCACCGGGCTTGGCCAGGAGTTGGGCCAGCGGGATGGCGGACGCTAGTGGATTTGTTGTGGTACAGGTGTTGTTGGTTGTGTTAGGAGTTTGTCCGGCTTGGGATGATGATGATGATGGACCTGCACCGTTCGGTGCGTTGTTTTGTGATTCCAAATTTGCCTTCTGAAGCTCCACGCTAAATAAAATATAGTTGGGATGGATTCAGAGAGATACGGAACATAAGTAAAAATAAAAAAAAACACTGTCACACAAAGCGAACTAATCTGTAAATAAACTCGATGGAATGAGAAAACTCAAATATTTGTTACATTACGCCGCAAAGTTTTTTTTAAATACTATTCAATTTTGACTAATAATTGATATATATATATATATATATATATATATATATATATATAACTATATAAAATAGTTTGATTACTAGCAAAATAAAGTAATTAGGACGTGTAGTAATACAGTAGAAAATAGTAAAAAATTGAGCATACTGCATTCGAGTTTCCCTGAAGAGTTAGGGAATGCTATACCGTTAAAAATTTCAATACCTGTATTTTAGTATTCTCTCTTTTAAAACCGGTAATACCGGTAAGATACCGGTCAAAATAGTTTATAATATTAATTATTTCAAACTTTTATTTTCAATTTTACAAAAATTAATGCAAATAGTGAAAACGAACTATTTGACCGCCTGGCATAAGTGCCAATTTATTCAAGATAATTATCAAGAAAATTGATCAGCATTTTATACAAAGTTTAAAAGCAAAACAACATAAACCCCAAAATAAAAAAATATAATGTAACATATAACCGAATAATAAAATTCTTACTAAAAGTCAGCATTTGATTAAAATAAGATTTATTTAAAATGTACTTATTTTAATAGTATTTGTTATTTTAAAATCATATTTAAGTTATTTGCCATACTACTCCCTCCTTCCTTCCCGATTTAGCACAACTAAAAATTACCGTCCCGGTTTTGACTTCAAAAAATATGGTCACCTTATTAAAGATCATATTACATTATTATAATAAATTGTATTGTCTGTATGCAATGTGTTAAAATCAGCGTAACTTCCAATACTTGGAAGACAGTCATTCTTCTATACTAATCCAAGATCCATTACTTTCAAGATACATAATAACATACTATAATTGTAGAGTATTTTTATTTAAAACGATATAATGGTCCTATATTATTTTCAAACTGTAATACGTTTTACGTAAAATAATATTTTAAAATTGTAATAAAAGCAAAAATATTTAGTAATTATTATGATTAATATGTATAAAGTTAGAAAAAAACATAAGATTACGCAATGGTAATCTTTATTTTGTTGATTGTAAGTATTTACAAAATGAAGTATTTTGGCGCAGATGTTACAAAAAACTATTACATTTTTACATAAGATGAAATAAACATCATTATCTATCGGTCCAATTTTATTTATTGTAATACGATAAGAAGCCCTTTGGAAAGTTTAACGACGAGTTGAGATAATATTTTGACATTTGTTTAACTATAGAATCACTTAAAGATATATCTGTTTATGCGAATATGGAATTTACAGATAAATTTGTTCAAAGAAATTTGAACTCGAGTGTAACAGGTATCAACTAGAGCTTATGTAAAAATATCGAATATACCACTATTTTTGAGGTATTAATACCGCCGAAAATTCAGGTGGTATACCGGTATTGCAATATTGCAAGTGATCAAAATTAAGAATATGGCAACGCAAAAACCATTTAACCTTGAAGTTTATTGGGCGCTTTGCACACAGGGTATCTACCCCACCCTGGCATTTTTTAAATGATGTGTACGCCATTTTATAGGTAATATGAATTTTTCTAATCTTTCATTATTTTTTATGATTAAACTTTCTATAATACTCGAATATTTTATGAGTCCGTTTCCACTATTTTTACCCAAGTGACAATTTTGCTGTATCATTATGCGAAGTTTTATCAAAGTCCAAAAAAAGAAGACTTTCTTGTGAGGTGATCGAAACGCGAGCGCCTTGCTGTTTAGAGGCCTACATGAGGGTTAATTATAATATAATTCGAGTTGTAAAATAAAAGACTATAGACTTTTAGAATTTTAAATAATGCTAATTGAAATTAAACAATCGCACTACTTAACAGTGAACTGTAAAATATGTAACGGTATGATATGACGGCCGACTTGGATACAATTTCAGACCACACAACAAAAAATTTATTTCAATTTTTAAGCACGAACAAATAATTATTCAACATTATTTGTTATGAATAATGTTATTTACACCAATGTAAAAAATGCAATCAAGTCAATTTATTCCGATATGTTTTACGGTTACGATTAAAATGTGAGATTGAAAAAAGAAAACATTTTCAAAGATATCTCGGCCAATTAGAGTAGCAAACTAGTTGGTTTGGTATTTAGCCTTGAGGCAAGTCACATGAACTTCCCGATATGTGTAAATAATCTACTTAATCAATAAAAAATAAATTAATTTATGAGTGATTAAAAGCATTCCGAGTGGATTTATTACCCATAATTAAAAATGAACGAACACGTTAACTCGGATTATTTTCTAAAAGCAAATCAACAATACAAAAATCAACAATTTTTATATTTGAACCAGTTTCCGTAGGACGTTAATGTTTTAGTATGTTCATTAAGACTAAGCACTGCATCGCTATACCAAGTAGATCATCTAATTTTAATTTTAACAAACGTCAAAAAACTACTCACTTTCTCAAATTTTGATGAATTTTTAAAATTAAAATACTTGTCGTAAGGCCATGATATTTCAGTAAGTTCTATGAGACCATGATATATATCGCCAAAAAAAAGTTCCATAAAAATCGGCTTCATTTTTCTTTCAATAGTTAATTACAAGAAAACTGCTTGGTAGATTTTCACCTAAAACCAATCAGTATCATTCCCAAATAATATCTTTCGAACAGTTTTTGATTTTTTAAAATCGATTCAGTAGTATGAGCTTAAATGTGGACGAAAAGTTTAACACTTCTTTTCAAATTACAAAGAAACGGCCCGGCCGATCGCTGCACAAAACTGAGAAAAGATAATCCACATTAAAATACATCGATTGGCTTTTAAATTTATGCAATCGTTTCAAGCGTTTTTGAGCAAACGTCGATGAAAGTTCTAATTTTGACAAACGTCAAAAAAACGACGCTAATTTCTGCAAACTTTGACGATTTTTTAAAATTAAACTACTTGTCATAGGACCGTAATACTTTATGATCTATAAGACTATGGTACCTACCGTCAAAAAAAAAATTATGAAAATCGTCGAAAAAATTTTTTTAACACTATATTACAAGAAAACGGCCCGGCCGATCTTCACCAAAAACTAATCAGGTCGATTTCCAACCAATATGTTTCGAACAGTTTTTGAATTTTCAAAATCGATTCAGAATTGCGGGCTAAAACGTGGACGAAAATTTTTTCACTTTTCTGCGATTTACAAAGAAACGGCTCGGCCGATCGTCGTACAAAAGTTAGAAACGCTAGTCCTCATCGAGATTAACTTGCTATATTACACATATAAGCAGGCTGAAATGATAATACTTATGCGTTATAACCACTTTATTACTCATTAATTACTATCCTCCATTCGAATCAACTTACAGACCTAATTCAGTTTTGTGTGAACATTTTGAAGAAATAAAAGGCAAAAAACCGTTTATTATGTTACCATTAGGATAATTTATGGTTTCAGATACAAGGATTTCTTCTAAATTTGGCTGCTTTGATTAGGCTTGAACAAAAACAAGGATACATGGGAGTACCTAAGTAACATACAACATGCAAAGGTCAGGATTTTCGTTGTAATTTAAAAAATCTGAGGCAATACGTTGTAGGAGAACAAATCGACAAAAATTAGGAAAAGAAATTATAAAAATCCATACATATAAAACGTGCATAAAAATGTTTTCCGACCTATCTACTGAATAAATTGCCAGCTGACAAAATCTAAAAGTTGTTTCACATTCCTAAAATCTTTAATCACAGCATAATATAAATTTGAGCCATTAATTCGACCCACTTATATATTTTCAGAATACCTTGCAAATTTGAAATCATTTTCATACTTATATGAGTGTCGTATGTCGTACATAATAAATGGTCAAAATATAAAAACTTAAAACAAACATGATTCATAATAGAGCTTACATGAAAACACAATGAGTGATCGCATTGAAAGTCAAGTAATTTTCAATAAAAAAAGCTCAAAGCAAAGCTCATGAGAAATTTTGTTCATGATGAAAAACGTCAAGCAACTAGAACAAATCTTCTAATAAAATCCAATGAATATCTCATCGTTATATTTTATTTTACTTAATGCGAGATTTTAAAATTATTTATATTTAATGATTAAAAATTTACTTAATAAATATATTCATGTGTGACAATACACTAACAGTGAGAGTAACTTGTTAGAAGATCTACATGAAATTATACCGATTCATGTGAAAATTTAAGTTTTATTTTATATCGCTTGTTTTATTACTTAAAATGAGGATTTATGTATGAAAAAATGTTAGGCGCAAAATGACGCGCAAGAAGTTTATTTGTGACATTACTTTTATTGATTACGAAAGGCTTACATTCAGCGATTATACATTTTAGCCGAGCTCTTAATAAACATATAAGTAGAAATTTACAATATTTGAACTGAACGGCAAATGGTTATAATTACAATAAACCACAATTTCCACTAACCTCATATTAATCAGATACTGTGCAAGAGAAACGGCGTCTGGATTTCCGGATATCGTTATGGTTCTGTCAGTATTTCCACCATCTCGTTCTTCGCAATTCGAAATGCGAATCATAGCGCCCGAGATTTGTCGTATTTCAGCGATTTTCGTACCACCCTTTCCAATGATGCAACCGATCAGTTCATTTGGAACTGTCATTTCGTGTGATTGCTGAGCAGCAGCGGCTTGCTGATTGCGGCTATTATTGCTGGTGCGCAACTGAGATCCGGCCAGCGCGGCAAGAGCTAAAAATATTAAGTGTTAAAATACGACCAAAATACAAACCTATATATTAATAAACTAAATTTTATTGGTTACCTAAAGCATTGGAATATTACATATATGAATATCCACTTCATTTTTTTTCGCACCTTTAATATCCGGCGCATCCGTTAACTATTTCATTTTTCGTCCTAGAGCATGTTTCGAGCTGTACTATTTAATAGAGTCTAACCATATGATTCGATGAAAAACGCAAAAAAACAAATTTTCAGTGGCCAGTAACTTGAAAAGTAATTGCTTTTTTGAAAAACATTATTAAACATTTTTCTCTTCTAATTAGTTCGTTTATCGATATCCGACGTTATTTTGAAAGAGATACAATTGCACCACTGAAAAGGGATGTCATCCCCCGGGAAGTGGCAAAGGAGTCTAAATTATTTTCACTTTTAAACTTGATAGTAAGATGAACCTAATTCCAAAATTTCATGCAAATTGGAGCACATTAAAAATATTCAGACCCAAAACGCTCCATTGACTTGAGTAAATATTTCGTATCCAATGCCAAACATATGAATTTTTGACATAATGAAACTTTTAAATAATTTTTTGAATAAGTAAATTATTTTTGTATTATGATTTAGTAAAGTAAGGCAAAACACGACTGCATTTAAAAGTTAAAAAATAATAATCTGTCAAATTGAATTATAGGCTAAGTTTGATGTGCAATCACTGACAGACGCATGCGCAGACTGCATCACCTGTCAGACGCATGTTGACTGTAAATCTTATATTATAATTTTTGTTATATTATTAAAATGTATACTTATTGTTAAAATCTCTATAAGAGATCTGATAATTTGATGTGCATATGTCTAATGATGATTTTTGACCGCCAAATGGCTAATTTTTTTACTTTTTTCTCTATATCTCCGAAACCGCTAGACCTACCTTTATGAAAATTTTATCGATTCTTCATCTTGTCAATACAAGTAAAATGTTTTTTGAATTATTTAAATCGGACGCTCCGTTCTCTTAAAAACTGAGTTACCGTTTTCGGCACTTTTTGGCCCGTATCTTTGGAACGGCTAGACCTGCCTTCGCCAAAAACTAATCAGAACGTCTCCTTATCAATACGAATCGAATGTTTTTTGAATTATTCAAATCGGTTAATCCGTGTTCCCGAAATCGTCGACGAAAATTTGTATCCGCACATACATACACACACGTACATACATACACACACACGTACACACATACACACACACACATACATCCATTTTTTCTAAGGTATGCCAAAATGTTCAGAAACCTTTGAAACGTAAAGATATATAAAAATTTTCATTTTCGATTTTTTTTGCGATTACTATAACTTGCCCTACGGGAAGTTAAAAATTAAAATAAAGAACAAAATCTAAAAAGAAAACGCTGATATTGATCAGCTTATATAAAACTAGCTGTAAGTGGAATTCTGTCTTAAGGCAATTAAGGCATCGTGCCTTAAGGCAAATTGCTGGAACTTCCCGTACCACAAATTATTATTTTTTTAAAAACGATTAACATTTTTGAAAAAAAATTACTTCGAAAATATTTATTTGTTTATATTATTTTTGACAAACAATTAGACAAAAAATTACTTTTTTTTGAAAAATAAATTTTTTTTAATTTTTTATTTATAATTTTTAATATGTCTTTATTTAGACATATTTTGAAAGATCTAAACTTTTTTTCAAAGCAATCGTACATACATATTTCGGCACTTTTTGCCTCGTATCTTCGGAACGGCTAGACCTGACTTCGCCAAAATCTAATCAGCACGTCTCCTTATCAATACAAATCGAATGTTTTTTGAATTATTCAAATCGGTTGATCGGTGTTCCCGAAATCGTCGACGAAAATTTGTATCCGCACATACATACATACACACACACATGCGCACACACACACACACACACATACATCCATTTTTTCTAAGGTATGCCAAAATATTCAGAAACCTTTGAAACGTCGAGGAATGCAAACATTTTCATTTTCGATTTTTTTGCGATTATTATAACTTGCCCTACGGGAAGTTAAAAATACTTTGAAAAATGTTAGATTTTTGATATTTTGAAAATTTGGAACTATTTTTCAAAGCAATGGTGCTGCGTGGCTGTTATACAGAAGAAATATCGAAGCGTTACGCGCGTCGATGCAAACGGATAAACATTGGTAGGAAACTAATAGAATTGCGAACTAAATTTGTTATTAAAATATCTATTTGATAATTTGATGTGCATATGTCTAGTAATCATTTTTGACCGCTAAATAGCATTTTTTGTTACTTTTTTCATTGGATTACCGCTAACCCTGCCTTTCAAACCCTAAATCAATCAAATCCATTGTCTCGAAAAGTGAACCGTTTTTGGCACTTTTTGCCCCGTATCTTTGAAACGACAGCACCTGCCTTTGCCAAAAACTAATCAGCACGCCTCCTTATCAATATAGGAATCGACGATGCCAAAATAATCAGAAACTTCTGAAACGTAAAGATATAAAAATTTTCATTTTGGATTTCTTTTGTATTACTTACCCTACGAGAAGTTAAAAATTTCATTTCGAACATATTTTAATTTTGAAATATATATATTTCGAGTTGGTTAACTGCGGAGTTGGTTACATCATCCGAAGACATAACTCCTCTCTCGGGACACCCCAGTCGGATGTATATCCGAAAATAAGTCAAATCTTCATGTGTCCGACCCCTTACGTACCCCCAATCACAAGCGATACTCGTGTCGATTTACCACTATATAAAAGATTCGACTCGAAAGAAGCGGATTTTCCTTTGGCCTTCGTTTAGATTTTTGATATATTCGATATTTTATTGTCTCACTTTCGGCATACAAGTTGAGATATGCATGCATATTAAAACGCATATGTTTTTAATAAATATATGATCAAATATGTTTGAACTGATTATAAACGAACTTCAAATAATTAATATGACTGAGATTGAACAAATCTTTTAATACATGAACGACACACACCGCTATATAATGCATTTTGTGTTAAGTATTAGGTTTCGGAGTGGTCGAAGTTGTTAAGCGCAATTATATCCTAACCGATCCGTCTTTGGATATAAGACACACACATATATAATATATTATTTTTGTGTTTATTTAGCATAAATTAGATTTTTGTTTAATTATGTATTTGATTTGAAATAACCATCTGTGCGAAGAAGTGGAAATATGCAATAAATGCGATACATAAAATTGAAATAACGGGTATAAAATAAATTATGCACATGACAAACACAATAATTCATAATGTCGGATATTTTTTAGTTTTTATAGAAAAGTTGCCAATATTGATATAACTGTAAACAAAAGATTACAATAACAAAAATAATCTAAAACAAAATAAAAGTAATAATTAAAACAGACTAACCTGCTGGATTTAAACCGCCCGTATTTGCTGGAGCCATACCGCCAAGACCCAACGCAGCTAAACCCGCTAATGGATTTTTTGCGATCGCTCCCATCTATAAGAGATATTAATTGTAAGACAAAAACATTTATAAACAAAATAAATTAACATAAGCGTATGTTTAATTCATTATATGAAACAAAATAAGTTTTTTTTTAATTCAAAATTAGCCTCTCTAGCCACAAAAAATATTTCTTTAAAACATCATATAAAATGTCAATTAACGATCTTGTAAATACAGTCTAAACTATAAACATTAAAAACATCTAACCTAAACAACCAAGTCTAAATTGCGAAATACAAAAGGGTAACAAAGTAGGTTAAGTTTTCTAAAAGGTACCGAGCAATGTACGAAATAAGAACTAAAACAATAGTTATAGGGTAACAAAAACGAAAATCAACTGAAAATTTAGTTAGATCCTATGGTTATAACAAAACTTATTAAGGCTGTTCAAAATAATATTTTTAACTATTAGTAAGTAGTCTCGATATTTATGTTGATATTAAAAATTTTGAATGCTTAATTATCTGTAAACGTTAATGGAATGGTGCTGCCTGTTAAAATTTAAAGTCAAATTTAGGTGTCAGTATTCTCATGCCAGTACTAAATTACATGCATTCTCATTTTAGAATAATACATATTTCATCTCTTAATTTTATTAGTAGTAATATGAAAGAAAACACAATGATAAAAACGACGAAAAAAGAATTAATAAAAGTTTTAAGAGAATTTAGTGTATATATATATATATATACACTAAATTCTCTTAAAACTTAATATATATATATATATAATATATATATATATATATATATATATATATATATATGCGTCCAAATAATAAAGATAAAGAAAACTATATTTTGTTTTTTAAAGTGAATTTAATGGTCAATACGTGTCGAGTCCCAATTTGACTCTTCTTCAGTGGCCATAGAGCTACAAAAAGTAACAAAAGAAAATAGGAGGAATGTGCTTTATATATACATATATAAACATTATATATACAAAAAAAAAAAAACAACATGACCTTGAAAATAGTTTGACAAATAAGTACTGTCCCCCTCCAGAAATGTCAATTCAATTGAAATTTGAATTTAGGTTAAATTATGCTTGTTAGACAATATTAGAATATAATATATTCATGATTATGAATAAGAAAACGTAGTCTACATTATTCTTGCCGAAAAGCAGTTGAGATGTGAGAGAAATTAAAATAATGCAAGATGCAGTAGATCTTTGGCAGATTAAATTATATAATTCAGTTTGACAGATTTTTTTTAACTTATAAATGTCGTATTTTGCCTTACCTTACTAAATTACTTCAATACAAAAAAAATATATTTAGAATTTTCATTGCGTTAAAAATTTGTTTGGCATTGGATATAAAATATCTAGTTATGTAGTGAATCGTAGAATAGTGCACATATGAACAGGATTTGACATAATTTTAATGTACAATTTTAATGAACATATTTCGATATTTGTTCGATATATCTTGCATGGTTTATGTGGCTGATTTGGATTTTACAGTACAATGAAAGAGTTAAGTGTGGAAATTGGGTCTCATCATTTTATTTAAAGCAGCTCTACATTTAACACCACTTATATTGATGTATATACACTACGGTGTAAATAGTAGTTTAAAAAACAATAATTACTATTTTTAACTAAGCGGACAATATTAGTATGAAATATTTATAAAATTTGGAACCTTTAAATTGTAGACGTGGGTACAGGTACTAGGGTTTGCGACTTCTAAACAAACTCACCGTATGCCACTTTTCTAGTTTCAAGTAGTTTTGAATAAGTAAAGGCTATTTTTTTTTCAAAATTTAATGCATTTCTTATATATATATATATATATATATATATATATACATATATATATATATATATAATATGGTTTTTACTAGGGATATTTTCGAGTTTCTTTACTCCCAGGAACTCGAATGCTTCTCTATTGATAAAAAAAAGTGTCGGAGTTTTAGATCTTAATATTAACTTTAAGATGTCCGCACTTCAACAAAAGTATCTTATGGAAATAACATGCGTCAAATTCCATTTGTTCTGCAGAATTTTATAACTTAGCTTTTGATAATAAAATTGTATTTGCTTATTTTGATCATAAATACAAAAAAAATACAACAATGATATATTTTATAAAATAAGTATTTACTTAAGAAGAAGAAACTTTGCTTGGAGTGCGGACTATCATAAAGTTAATATTAAGAGCTAAAACTTTCAGAGAATATTGTTTATCAATTTGGAAGCATTTGAGCTCCTTTTTTAACATACTTTAAAAAGGATCAACTAATTGTCAAAGAAAACTACTAATCAATGCAAGTTGATTAGGAATCAGCAAATAGCTTACATTTTAGAAACCGGTGGAGTCGAACAATATATGTATAGTAAATATAATACGAAAACAAATCATAATACAAAAAATACAGCTCAACTTAAGCCACAAATGTACGAGAATAATATCTCTGCAACGATTACAAAATAATTCGCGGAAAGTTTTCAGAAATTTAAGAAAAAGAACTTCAAATTTATTACCCAATCATATTACTATACCAACATAGATGTAAAAAAATTCAGATACACTATGAATATATATAATTTTTAAAGGCTATATTAGTAATCAGATGCATAATTTAGTTTACAGTCGTCAAGTAAGAGAGTGGCCGTGTTAATTTATAAAATAATTATTTTATGAAACTTTGATAGTTATATATGCATTGTATACGTTACAAGCAATGATGCAATTTGGTCAATATGTGTCCAGTCACCACCAAAGTCGACAATTGGCTGGCATCTCCGACGCCTGCTTTTTACTAATTCAACGGATTATTTTAGTCTGACGGCTCGTATTTTAATTTAATGGCTCGATGAGGGCAGTACGTGCTCATACAGAACTTTCATCAGTAAAAATGACATTTTTCAAAA